AATCTGATATTTATGCTGATTTGTGATTCCTGATCTTTTTCTCATGATTTCTGTTTCTCTAATTCCTCAGCTTGTGTTTTCTTTATTGTGTCTATTTCAGTTTTCAAGTCTTGAATAGTTTTTTTCATATGTTTGATTCCTTTTTCTTGGTTTTCTTTACGGGATTTGTTGATGTCTTCCAATTTTTTGTTTGTCTTTTCCTCCATTTCTTTGAGGGAATTTCTCATTTCCTCTTTAATGGCCTCAAACATTCTCCTGAAGTTATTTTTTAGGTCATTTTCTTCTGCTTCATCTATATTTGTTCAAGTCTTGCTGTTATAGGATCACTAGGTTTTACTGGTGATGTGTTGCTCTTTGTGGTGTTGTGTGTTCTTACCTTGTCTACTCATCTTTTACTCTGATTGGTGTAGTTGGGACTGTCTGTGGCTCTGGTGATCAGTCTTCCAGGTCCCAGTGGATCCAAGGCTCAGGTGGTTGTTCCTTGTGGTGCAGTCAGTGCCACAGGTTTCAGTCACCCTGTTAGTCACTCTGTGTTTCCTAGGTTGCTCAGTGCGCCCATGGTTTGCTCCACTACTATGGAGTCGCTGTCTCAGGCCTGCTCTTGCCTAGGCTCCCAGCTCAGCTCTGTTTCTATAAATGTCCCTTGTTTGGATCTGATCCTGTCGAGGTCTCTGACTTGGGATTGGTTCTGCAGAGGTCCTGACTTAGGCCTACTCCCTCAGTGGTCCCAGACTCATGCCCGAACCTGCAGAGGTCTCTGGTTCCTGCCCACTCCATTGGAGGTCCCAGATTCATACCCCGACCCTCAGAGTTCCTGGCTCAGGACCAGTTTCTGGGAGGTCCCAGATTCACACCAGGACCTGCAGGGGTTCTGGTTCAGGTTTACTCCTTCTAAGATCTCAGACTAACTCCCAGTCCTGCAGAGGTCACTGATTCCTGCCTATCTCTTCGTAGGTCCCAGACGCATTTCCTGAACCCGTAGAGGTCTCTGGCTCTGGCACACTTCCTCAGCAGTTGCTCTGATTGCTCTGCTGTACCTGCTCCTGTGGAGTTCACTGTCTCAGGTCTGCTCTGGCCTAGGTTGCTGGCTCCGTCCTGCTCCTGTAGAGTTCGCCATCCCAGGTCCACACTCCAGCCCAGGTTGCTGACTCAGTCCTGTGCTTATGAAGTTAGCTGTCTCAGGTCTCCCTGGCAAGGATTTTCAGTTCTGGTCAGATATGAAATAGTAAACTTTAATGAGGGAATAGCTTACAACACTAGGGATCCAGTGATGAACAGGAAGTACAAAAAGGGACCGGCGAGGCTCACACCCGCCAGATTTATACCTAAACATTAGCCCAAGGCTAACACACCCCCTTGGGCTGGGTTTCCCCTACACAGGCCTCTTTCTTAGTTGCTGGAATTTGCTGGTAATCCATTATACCTTGTTTTTTAGATCTTATCACATCTCAGATTGATTTGCAAACCATATTCTCTCTCTCTCTCTCTCTCTCTCTCTCTCTATCTCACTTCTCACTTCTGCTTCTTTACCACAGCACCACTCTGTATGTTCATAAAACTTTTTCATACCAGTTTTGCCAGATGTTTGGTTCTCAACTTGTTGGTCTCTACAAGACCCTATTTAGAAAAAAGTTGCTAATCACATTCACCTGCTTAGGGCTTCCATATCTGAAATGGCACAGATCACCTGGCAGACCTCATCAGCCCTAAGTTCTAAGGAACATGCTTCTGTTGAGAAAGTTCAGAGATCTGGAGAAAATGAATTTCAGCCTAACGATGGGCTGGATCCTCTTTACAAGAACTGTCAGAAATAGAAAATTGAGGTTAGGCTATAACCAAACTCTTTGATTTAATAACCCCAAGCCTTTCCAAATGCCTGTCCTTCTCATGATCTCCTAATGGGTAATGCACCCAAAGCCATTAACAAGCACATATATCATAACACCTGGCTCTAGGCCAAGGAATTTGGCTTTTGTTTGCTGATAGAAGGACCATAGCAGTGATGTACATCATATTCTATCCCATGATTGTGTGCCTCTTCTATCTGTATGCGTGTGCATGTGCATGTGTGTTTCCAACTTAGGGTGCCTCTACACAGCCCCGACAGACCTCTGACTTGTCACTGCTCTTGCCTCAGTATATTGATTCAAGGTTTGGACCATCATATTGCTTCTAGGACTGTTTTTTCTAAATATCTGAGGGATCATCTGGCCTCATGTGACTCCAACCAGACACGTGAAGAGTGAATCACATCTTCACTCACAACCTTATATCCTGAGTGAGCTCTGCTGATTCTCCAGGGGAAATTTTTTATTACTACCTGTGTAAGAGCTTCCTTTTCCCTTTTTGACCCCAGAGAGGCTCCTGATATGGCTGCTTGGTTTAAGGTCATTTTGGAGTGAGGAAATGAGCCAGAGGTAATGGCTGTACCATGGACAGCAGCAGACCCCTCCCTGGACATTCTATTGTATCCTGGAGAGCCCTGATTCTCTGTGATGTCATCAGTGTTGTGGCAACACCAACTGCCTGTGGGGCATCTGTTCATTGCCTACGGGTTTTGGACGTAGCCATGTTGGCAAGACTGAGCAGGCTCCTTGGGAGACAGAAAGGAGAGCATAACGAGACTAGAGGGAGGCAGAAGGAAGCTGGCCTTCAACCTCAGTGTCGCACATCAAGACATAAATGGTTCTGGGGAGAACGCAGTGAGTCCTGGGGAGGGAGTGGGGAGTTTCTTGATGATGGAAGGCTTCAGCTTGGTTTTTCATAGTGAGTCACAGGATCTTAGAGCTTCGTGGAGGTAATGAATCTATCCTGCTTCTCTCTGTTACTAAAGAGTAGACCTGGAGTTTAGGGTTTCTGATGCTTAGATTGGCAGAGAGCCAGTAATGGTCAACCCTGCAGCTGCTGTGCTAGGGCCCTCTGCTTTGACTCTGAGTGGGAAGGAAGGAGAGAGGGATGAATGAGGTTTCAGTTACAGCACTGAGCTTCACCCACACTGGATTTCTTTTGGTTGTGGGTCACTAATAACAGGGAGAGTAAAATCCTCTGGCCAAAGCTGGAGGATCTCAAATTTTACCTCACATCCACTTGCAGGGTAGGAACCATTGGGTATTGCTGCATGTCAGTGACCCCTAAGGTTTCTGAGTTCCTGAATCTCAATAGCCAGTCATCTTTATCTTGACTTTAACTTTAACTTGAGTGCAGGAATGAGCCATCACTCTCCCTGCAAGTGTCTGTTCTTGGTGAGTGAGGGCTCACCCGTGGATGCCCTTAGGTGTCTCCAGCCTGTCCTGTCACTAGGTGATCTCACTTTTGCTAACATCATTATGGATGGAATGTATTCTGCTGAAGTTTGGAGGAAATTTTCATCATTACCCATGTGACTCATCTTTGGTCTGATGGGTCACCCGCAATCCCCATCACCCCCACACATTGTAACAGCCCTGTAGATATTTCCTGAGGTACTCATTCACTTCATGAAACTGAACTTCATTCCACATCAACATGAGCTAATGTTTTAGTATCCTTCACTTCCCATCTTTTTGATTAGGAGGTGAAGAGCCATTCCGTGGGAATGTTTAGAAAATGAGTCTTGACCTCCATAAATGATGAAGTGTTAAATTATAATTAATTAGAGTCTAAGTATCAGAGAGCTGCTGACGAGCTTCCCCTGTGTCTCAGGGAAGGCACCTGAAAAAGCCAGCTTGGCTTTTGGTGACTGGGGAAGAGACAGTTAGGAGATAAGTGATGGCAGTTGGCAGTGACCCTAACAGTCCGTTCTCTGGACATTCTGCTGTATCGTAAAGAGTCGTTGGCATCTTTTCTTGAAATCAACAGTGTTGTGTTCTTGGGGCACTCATTATGTGTTGAAATAGGAGTGGCGGGGCTGCGTCCCTGGCACCCGGCCGCCCGCACGGCTAGCTTTACCCGAAATAATTACACGGAAACTATATTCTTTTAAACACTGCCTGACCCTTTAGTTTCAGTTTCTTATTGGCTAGCTCCTACATATCGATCTAACCCATTTCTATTAATCTGTGTAGCCCACGAGCTGGCTTACCAGGAATGATCTTAACCTGCCTCTGCCTGGAGTGGGAGAATCATGGCGACTCCTGATTCAGCTTCTTTCTCCCAGCATTCTATTCTGTTTTCTCTGCCTACCTAAGGGTTGGCCTATCAAATGGGTCTAGGCAGTTTCTTTATTAATAAGAAATCACTCCCACATCAATTATGTGCATATAGGGTTCACCAGAAGACACAATGGCAAGATTGAGCACACTGGTTGGCAGAGAGATCTGACTTTCGAAGGAGGACGTTGGGGGTTGAGTTGGACCTTACAGAAATGGGGTTAAGTAGCTGGGATCTTGGAAGAGATGGTTCTATATTGCTTCTCTGGGTGACTAAAGTGCAGACCCATAGTCAAGGATTGCTGCTAGTTAGTTTGGCAGAGATCCAGGAGTTGTCAAGGTTATAGCTGCTGTTCTGTGAGTTCCTTAATTTTATTTTGAGTGGCAAAGACCAGCAGGAGGCACAGACTAATGGGGTGTGAGAGTAGGTTGTTGCTACAACTCATCATCAGTGATTTCTTTAGGTTCTGTGAGTATCTCATGGGAAATTCCCCATCTATGCACCAGGGTCTCAGACATCCAGTTACTTCTATTCCAGGCCACACTAAGAGACTGAGAGTCTCTAAGCACTGGAGACTCCAGGAATTTTCTGTATCACATCAGAAATGAGTTGATATTTCCAAAGCAGCATGGCTGGGTGACATATGCCTTTCAGGGCCAGTGGGGCAGCAGTAGGGGCTGATACACATAGCTAGCCACAGTGAGTGGAGACAGAGGCATGGCTTATGGGCTCCCAGTTTGAGGAGTTGTCCTGATCCTTCACTGTGTTCCATGCATTCACTCTTCCTTGGCCTCTTCTTCGAACTCAACATGATCTCTCCTGGTCCTGTGCCATACTACTGCATAAATTCACTAATATTTATCTACCTGCAGGGAGTACTGGAAAAACATCAACCCCAAACTCTGTTACTGGGCAGGAGCAACGGATGAACAAGGTGGCTACACTGACCCTGCAGCTTCAGATGATGACCCAAGAAAGGAACGAACTTCGTGGAATTCTGGCTAATTATACCAACAAGGATTTGAACAACAGGTAGCCATTTTGTCTAGTTCCTGGGTAACTGTCTTGACCCTACCGAGTCAATCCCAGCATTCCTCAGGTCACTGGAGGCTGCACCTCCAGAGTGTTCTGCCTAAACTAAATATCCTGAGGGCATCTGAGAGGCATAGCTGAAATCTGGGAAGGAGTGATATCAGGACACAGGCTGTGTGATTCCTCCAAATAAAAGGAGAGCCTGTGGCCTGGATCAGTCTGGGGATGGGGCAATAGTTTGTGAGCTCTCAGCATACATTCCATGAGGCCTTGACAGGTGTTGGCTTGTGGACGATGCTAGGTGCTGTGAGCTTACGGTGAGTCTTTGTGCTTAACCAGCAGGTGTTTGAGTACTGGCTGCTCCTGGGAGCAGCTGCAGGGGCCTAGTCGTCTTGGTGCATCTCAGTGTGTGACTTGAGGTCTGAACTTCATCACTGCTCCTCTCTAGTCTGGTTTCTTATATTCTGAGACAATTCTGCCTGCCTACATTTATTTGGCATCCTCCGTGTATGTGTGTGCGTGTGTGTGTGTCCTAGCAGTTGGGGGTCTGTGGCATGTGGTTCTTTCTGTGCCACAGTTTCCAGGTGATCCCACTCAGTTCCCTTAGGGTCAGGGAACTCCACTCTGACCAGTGATGGTGCTCCTGGCCCGTGTGCTCACCTTGGCAGCCCATTGGAATCCACTGGAGACTTATATATCTATCCTTAAGTCAGGTCTGCTCGCTGGAAACACTGATTTTGTGTTTTGGACATCCATGTAGCAATAGGAACCTGGGATCAAAAATCCCCGTTCTGGAGACGGGAACAACATTATCATAGATTTCTGGTGGGATCAGACTTGTGACACAGGCTCCCCAGGACTTAACTATTCTATTCCTCCAGGCCCATTAATGGAACTCATGCAGCTCTGGATCACTCCCTTTGCACCCCTGACAGCATGCTGGTCTGGGGCCACGTCAGCAAGTTTAAACAGCACCAGGTTGTCCTGGTTCATAGCTATCAGAATGTGACATTGACTGTGCTGGGTGTTTAGGGCACAGCCTGAAATCATAGGATCATTAAGGCCAGAATTCACGGGGTTCTTTGCTCTGGGGCTATGCCCTAATACAGGCTAAATTTTGAGTTGGAGATGGTGAATATGGAGCATAAGAAAGTGATGTTGGATCTGCAGAAATTCCCCATGGAGATGAGAGAGGCCTTGTACAAGTGCGAGGAGCTGACTGAGGAAACTGTCTCTTGCAGGTGAGTGACTGACTTCACTGGGACTCTATTCCTTGGCAGTGACTGCTTTTTGCCATGTTTCTGTCTTTGAAACAAAGTGAGGACTTTCCTTTTGGCCTGTCTCCCTATAAAAAGCAGTCTGTCTTATGCTCTTGACTTGGACCTACTGGACTAGTTTTGCTAAGACTGAAGTATCTGTGAGCCCATCACTACATTGTCCTGCCAGCCTCAGGAGCCTCTAGATAGAAAATCTATTTGTACCATGATAAAGGTGTCAGGCATTTGTGGGTCTTGGGGGCTCTGGTTGGGGTTTCCAGAGGTGATCCCATTCTACCCATAGATAGAATATATTTCAATTGGGTCTGCTGTCCTCCCTCACAGAATGTTTGACTTCTACCTCTCAACCTGCTGATGCTTTCCCAATACCATGGACAGTTAAGTACATGTGGTAGGAGGCAAACCCTGCTCTCAGAAGTACATGCATTTCTTTTATTGTAACAGTTTTCAAAAGCAGTCTGAGTCTTTCTGTAATTTGGCCATTCTCTGACATTTGACAGCCACTAGGGTATCCTGGCATGGTGACTGTGGGCTCTGGTCTAGGGCTGTCTGGGGACATGGGAGTTTGCATGGGTGATGTGGGAGATGGAGGCTAGGTAGGTCTCATGGTGTTTTTGTGATGGTTCAGCATCCTCCACAACCAGCTCCTGAGTGAGCGAACTCAGTTGAAGAAAAAAGTGAGCATGTTGAGAGAGGAGAACCAAAAGCTACGGAGGGAGCAGATTTCACTGCAAGTGGCCTGTGAGAAGGTGAAGAATCTCTATGAAAAGACCGATGAGAAGTTCTGTGAGCTATGTGACGAGGGGGATAAGGTAGGCTGCAGCAATGTGGGCAGGCTGCCCACCATCAGTAGTAATACACACACACACACAAACACACACACGTGATCATCCACCCACTTTTCCAGTAGCTCACTAACATCTTGTCCAATTGTTGATTTCTGTGATTTTCCAAGACTTTCTAAGGATTTAGCATCTTGTGAGATCAATGGCTGGAAACAGCTTTGAAGGAGGAAATCCCCGTGTAAATGTCAAAGGGGTGGTTCTTGTCTACATTTTTTATCTTCTCTCATGTTTCATCAGTTCAACCTCCTTCCCTCCTCCCAGTCATTCACCCCCTGCTCCCCGGACCCCGGGTCCACTCCTCCTTAATTTCCTTCAGAAAATAGCAGTTCTCCCATGGTTATTTGATCTAATTATTAAAATATCATTAAACCTGGGCTTTGCTCATGTTTGTTACACATTCTAACAATGAGATATATCACCAAATCCTTTTAAAGTCTTGAGATATGATCACACTACATTCCAAAGATTAGCTTTTTTTTTATTAAGAAAAGAAGAAAAAAAAACATAAAAAACAAGTTTCCACCTCCTCCCAGCCTCCCATTTACCTCCCCCTCCTCCCACCCTTCTCCCCCTCCTCCCACCCTTCTCCTCCTCCCCCCACTCCTCTCCCCCTCCCTCTCCAGTCCACAGAGCAGTCCGGGTTCCCTGCCCTGTGGTAAGTCCTAGGTCCTCCCCCCTCCGTCCATATCTAGGAAGGTGAACATCCAAACTGGCTAGGCTTCCACAAAGCCAGCACATTAAGTAGGATCAAAACCCCATGCCATTGTCCTTGGCGTCTCATCAGCCCTCATTGTTCGCCATGTTCAGAGAGTCCGGTTTTATCCCATGCTTTTTCGGTCACAGTCCAGCTGGCCTTGGTGAGCTCCCAGTAGATCAGTTCCACTGTATATAGTTATCCTCTTGGCTAAGGGAAGTAGACCAAATTGCCGGGGAGAAAATTAGGATCTTGGGGGTGGGGTGGGATGGGGGTAAGGTGAGATGGGGAGAGAAAAGGTAGAAGGGAAGGAGGGGGGACTTGGCGAATCAGGAGAATTGGGATAAAGGAAAGGTGGATAGGGGAGCACGGAACCACAATTCTTAGTTAAGGGAGCCACTTTAGGGTGGGCAAGAGATTTGACCCTAGAGGGGCTCCCAAGTGCCCAAGATGAGGTTCCCAGTTAGTTCCTTGGGCAGCTGAGGATTGGGAACCTGAAATGACCCTATCCTAGAGCAATACTGACGAATATCTTGCATATCATCATAGAACCTTCATCTGGTGATGGATAGAGATAGAGACAGAGACCCACACATGAGCACTGGACTGAACTCCCAAGGTCCCAATTAGGAGCAGAAGGAGGGAGAACATGAGCAAAGAAGTCGGGACCACGAGGCGTGCACCCACCCACAAAGATTAGCTTTGAACTCACAGTGGAGTTCAGTCCAGACTTTAATTTTCAGTCCTTCTGTCTCAGTTTCTGAGTACCTAGGATTAAGGGTTTGCATCACAAGCTCAAACTTAGTCTAAATACTTAAATTAAAATTGATGCTTAAACCAAATGTCGAAGGTCAGTAGATTATACGTTTGTGCTTTTTTTTTTTTTTTTTTTTTTTGGTTTTTTTCGAGACAGGGTTTCTCTGTGGTTTTGGAGCCTGTCCTGGAACTAGCTCTTGTAGATTAGGCTGGTCTCGAACTCACAGAGACCCGCCTGCCTCTGCCTCCTGAGTGCTGGGATTAATGGCGTCCGCCACCACCGCCTGGCTTACATTTGTGTTTTTAAGACATAGGTGCTAAATTATAGTCATCTCAAAAGCATCGGTGAAAATATAATTTAAGATGCTTTATCATTAGTAGACAGGTAGCTTTAAGACGAATAACAAATGGGTAGCTTTCATTCATTTAACCATTCAACAGTCTATGTTGGGAGTCCCATAAATGCCAGGAAGTAAGCTATACCTGCAGCAAACAGATAAGATGTCTATCCTGAAGGAACTGATGAAGCTATTACCTTTAATTCATCTCTTACATTATAGCTGGTGTCTCCTCGGTGCAACCCTCCAGCTCTCATTGCTTTGAGACCTCCAGGAGCAGAGGATTTTCCTGCAGGAGGCAGAATCTAACCCTTACTAAGGATCTGTCCATAAATTTTACTGTTCACAGAAAAGGCAATTTTACCTCCTTCCCACTAGCCATGGCCTATGAATCCCAGCTATAAGTGAAAAATATTATATGCCATCGAATCATAGGGATTCCTGCTCCTTGTTAATATTTTAGAGGAAGAAAATTTTAAGCTCTCCTTTTGGGTAGAGATTACACAGTTAATAACTCTGTTTAAAGTGTTGTAACTCTTCAACGATTCACATTTTTTTATTGAGTGAACATTTCCTTTTATTGACAATAAATTATTCTCACATACCATAGTTTTCTCTACCGCCACTTCTCTCAGCTCCTATAAACCTCTCTTTTTCCAGATCTGCTACCCTTTGTTTTCTTTCCAGAAAAGAACAGGCAAGCATGACAAAACAAGAAAAAGGCCTTCATACAGAGGCTGCTCAAAGCTTCCCAATAGGAGGAAAGGCATCCCAAGAGCAGACAAAGAGTCAGAGACACACCACACCCACTCCCACTATTAAGAGTCCCACCAAAACACCAACATATATGCAGAGAACATGGTGCAGACCCATGCAGGCCCCATACATAACTCTGTGAGCCTATGTGAGCCCTGTTTACTTGATTCAGTGGGCCATGTTCTCCTAGTGCCCTCCAGCCCATCATTCCCGTTTACTCCTAAAATCCGCACCCCCCCCCCCCAATTTCTTCTGAAAGTTTTCCTGAGCTCCAATGGGTAGGACTGATAGAAAGTTCGAATTTAGATACTCACTTCCACACAACTACTACTAGAGAAAAGGTCTCTGATGAGGACCAGCAAGGCACCAATCTATGAGTATAGCAGAACATTGATAGGAATATTAGTAATCAGTTCATTGATTTTTTTTTAGTTATGTTTGCTTCTGTGCTATGTCTCTGGGCTATTTGGTCTCCATATTTTAGCCATCCATGGATTATAGGGCATGGACTGACTCACCTTGCATGAGCCTCAAGTTAAGCTAGACATTGTATGGCCACTCTCTCAATTCTGCACCAACAGTGCCCCAGCATAACTTGCAGGAGGACAGACTGTAAGTCAAGGTTTTTGTGGCTGAGTTGATGTCATGTTTCTCTTTCTGTAACCTGCAGAGTATCATCCCATGCCAAAGAGACTAGAGCATATGGGTGAAGGCTCCATGCAGGCAACAGCTTGCTCTCTCTAGGTTCAATGATGTGTAGATGTTGTCCACAACAATGGGACCCCACTGTTAGTTTTCAGAGAGCAACACACTGTCCTAGCATGAGCCGGGAATCCCCTCCATCCAAATATTCAACTGAATGCAATCCAGTCTCTCAGCACTGGAAGCCTTTCTTGGCTACAGAAGATGGTCAGTTCAGACTCTGTATGTTCCACTACTAGGATTCCTCACTAGGATCCCCCATATAGATTACAGGAAGTTTTATCTGTACTAGCTTTCCATAGCAGCCTCTGGGAGCCCCCCAACTCTAACACTCTCTCTCCACACTCTCTCCCTCCATCCCTCCCCCCTACAGGATCCCTTTCAATTCCCTCCCCACCCAACCAAAGTTTACTGGCAAAATCTAATCTATTTTCTTTTCCCAGGGAAATTCTTCTGTTTCTCCTAGTGACCTTCTCTTTACCTAACTTTTCTGGGTTGTGGAAAGTGGCTTGATTATCAATTCCTTAACAACTGATGCCCACTTATAAGTAAATATATATAATATGTGTTTTTCAGGATCTCAGATATCTCTGTCAGCATGATTTTTTTCTAGCTCCACCCATTTGCTTAAAATAGCAATTGGATATCACTTTTCACACAGCCAAGTAATATTCTCTTCTGTAAATGTACTGCCCGTTCTTTATCCATTCTTCCATTGAGGGACATCAAGGTTGTTTCCAGTTTCTGGTTATTATGAATAAAGCCAGAGTGAAGATATTTGAGCAAGTGTTCTTGTGATAGGATAGAGCATCCTTTAGATATATGTCCAAGAACGGTGTACCTAGATTTTGAGGTAAATCAGTTCCCAATTTTCTGAGGAATCGCCATGTTGATGCCATAGAGGCTGGACAACTCTGGACTCCCACTAGAAATGGAGGAGTGTTTCCTTTGCTACAAATCCACACCACCATAAGCTGTCATTCGTGCCATTGATCTTAGCCATTCTGACAGGTGTAAGGTGGAATCTCAAAGGAGTTTTTGGTTCAAATTCCCCTGAAGGGTAAGAATGTTGATCATTTCTTTAAATGTTTCTCAGCTATTTCTGATTCTTCTTTTTTTTCTGTTTCTATCTGTACCACGTTTCATAATTGAACAATTTGGATGGTTGATGTCTAGTCTATTGAATGCTTTGTATATTTTGGATATTAGCCCTCTGTCTGATGCGAGTTGATGAAAATCATTTCCCATTCTTTAAACCTCTATTTTCTCCTACTCATGGGGTTCCTTGCCTTTAAGTTCCCTGAGGTCCTTTATTAATTGTTGATCTTAGTGCCAGTGTTCTCTTCAGAAATCATCTCCTTTGCTGGCATGTTCCAGCTATTCCTTATATTCTCTCCTGTCTGTTTTTGTGTTGAGGTCTTCCTCATGAAAGGGTCAAAGATTTTTTGGTATCTAGTAAGATGATCACCATATGTTTTTTCTTCATTTTATATGGTAGATTACATTGACTAATTTTCATATGCCGAACTATCCCTACATCTCTAGGTTAAAGACTGCTTGATCATAATAGATGATCTTTTTGAAATATTCTTGGATTTATTTGCAAGTATTTTATTGAGTACTTTTTCATCTATGTCCATTAGGGAAATTGGTCTGTAAGTATCTTTGTTGAGTCTTTCTGTGGTTTGGGTATCAAGGTCACTGCGACCTCATAAAATGATTTGGGCACTGTTTCTTCTGTTTTTATTTTGCAAACTAATTTGAGGAGTATTGCCATTAACTATTCTTTTAAAGTATGGTAGAATTCTGTGAGATAGCCTTTTGACCCTGGGTTTTTTTTGTGGGGTGGAGGGAGGCTTTTAACAATGGCTTCTATTTCACTGGGGAATGTAGGTATATTTACTTATCTGATTTTAATTTAACTTTGATAAATGATTCCTATTGAGAAAATTATTTATTTCTAATCCAGTTTGATGAAGTACATGATTTAAAGTATGTCCTTGTGATTCTCTGGATTTCCTCGGTATCTGTTGTTATATCCCCATACGGTTTCTGATTTTATTAATTGGGATATTCTTTGCCTGTCTTTATTTAGCTTGGATGAGGGTTTATCTATCTTGTTGATTTTCTCAAAGAACCAATTCTTTCTTTCACTTATTTTTGTACAATTATCTTTATTTCTATTTTATTGGTTTAGCTGTCAGTTTGATTATTTCTTCTGGTCTAATCCTCTTGGACATATTTCCTTTTGTTCAATAGCTTTGAGGTGTTACTATTAAGTATGATATCTTCCCATTTTTTAATGTAGGCACTTACTGCTCTTAGCACTACTTTCGTTGTGTCCCATAAGTTAGCGTAGGTTATGTATTCATTTTCATTGAATTCTAGAAAGACTTTCATTTCTTTCTTTCTTTCTTTCTTTATTTATTTATTTTTTGGTTCACTTTTCATTCAATATAGAGATCTTCAATTTCCATGAACTTATATATGCTTTCCTTTCTTTAGTTGTTGATATACAGTTGTATTCTCTAATTGTCTGATAAATATCTGTTAAGTTTATTTGGTTTAAAACTTCAGTTAATCCAGAGTTTATTAATTTTGTCTGTATGACCTGTACACTGATAACATGGACATTGGTGAGACTTAGATTATTATTGGTAATAATTTCCATATTAGTATGTGGAAATCAATATGTGTTTTAAGCTATAGTAATGTTTATCTTAAAAATTTACTTAGGGCATAGATGTTAAGACTTCAAATGATGGCCAGGTGGTGGTGGTGCAGACTTTTAATCCCAGCTCTTGAAAACAGAGGGAAGCAGATCTCCTTGTGCTCAAGGCCAGCCTAGTCTACAAGAGCTAGTTCCAGGACAAGCTCCAAAGCTATGGAAAAACCCTGTCTCGAAAAATTTTAAAAAAAATTAAAAGATCATCTTTGTGGTGTGTCCTTCCCCATGCCTTTTGATTAATTTTGGTTTGAGGTCGATTTTGTTAGGTATTAAAATAGCTACACCAGCTTGTCTTTTAAGTACATTTGCTTGGAAGATTTTTTTCAAATTCTTTACCCAGAGGTAATGTCTATAATTGATGTTGAAGTTTGTTTATTGTATGCAGAAGAAAAATGGATCCTGTTTCTGCATCCATTCTGTCATTCTGTGTATTTTTATTAAGGAAATGAAACCATTGATACAGAGAAATATCAAATGATTAATTCTTGTTATTTTGCTGAATGTGTATGTTCTTGTACATGTATATCCAGAAGTGTGCGTTGAGGAGTGTGTTTGTGTGTGTGTGTGTGTGTGTGTTTGTGTGTGTTCATTTGAGTGTTCAACCCTCCACTAAGAACATAATCTTCTAATGAACAGAAACAGGATATATTGGTGGAAAGACGACAATTCCTGCTGAAGCTGAGGGATCTGGTCACCAAACGTATAGAATTGGCAGAAAAGCTGCAGAATCCCTTCGCTGTCTCCCAGATGAGGTAGGATCCCAGGCCACAAAGAGGGAGTTATATCAAGTAGCTCCCCAGTACCTGAATCTCTGCCCTATTTGGGTTCCTGGACATTTGCATGACTTTTTAGTCAAAGCCAGGGAAAGAACATCTGAGAGTATTGGGCTGGCTCAGTCAACAGAAATGTCTGCACAGGAAGCAATATGTGTTATCCTTAATCTTTCTCAATTGTGTGCACTTCTTCAATTCTGAGTGGTCTCGTGTGTGCATTGATCCTTCCTATGGTAGTCCCAGACCTAATAGAGGCAGTGTTAATTGTGGAAGACGGTGTCTCCTCCTGCCACTTTATTTTCCTCCAGGAGTATCACCTTTAGAGATAAAATCCTACACTTGGGCAGATTAGCATACAGCACCTTCTTATTGATTATGGGTTCTCTGCAGTTTGCATCTGTTTCCTGTAAGAAGGTTTTTCTGGAATTAAAATCACATTTAGAGTTTGACATGTTGAATCCAAGGAAGTTTCTGTGCTGAAGGAATAAGCCCAGCCTTCACTGCAGTGTTGTGTTTGCCTCTCTTCAGGGCCTCATACAGTTAATTTCCCAGGTTGCTCACAGTTTCCTGGCATCTGTTCAAGGCCTGTGATCCAGACATTGCTATACTGCTGTTTTTTTCAAAAGAATGTATCTAAACTATTGGAGTAAAGGGCTGTTTTTCTAGTTCACCACAGTGTGTATTTCTCAGCTCACTTTGTAGCAGTTTTAAAGGTGGAGAAAAAAAGAAACTCAGGTGCTATCTTATACTTGAAGAAGCAAGGAGTGAATGAGCCCAGCTCAAATGTAATGCTGGATTTCCCAGTTGAGTAGAGCTGGTAAGAGCTCAAAAGCTGACAGGGCAGGTCCTTAACAGACCTGTGTCCCAGCTGTTTTCCTCCCCTAATATGAAAACCTCCAGCATGATCTGGCCACAGTCCAGGATGAGAGCCTCCTGCAGACAGACCTGCTGCAGCAGGAGCCGTGTGTGTGCCAGGCCAATGAGCCACCATTGACTCCTGTCCCCTGCAACCTTGGCATTCATGGGGTGGGTTTTCTTCCTTGATGTTTGTTTCCCATGTGTAGACAGTCCCTGGTTTTGTCTAGGCTGTGGTCCAATGAGGCTTCCTGTGCATCTGATTGCCTTTCCTTCTCTGACAGCTCCGCTTTGGAGAACTGAGGAGGCTGAAGGAAGCTTCACACATTCTCCCCTCGAGCAGCAACACCTACTGAGAAGCAGACCCCTCCTTGTAGCTGTGAACAAACGAGTAAGAAAAATCTCCACCTACTGCAGCGGTTCCATCGCCAATCTGATTCATGTTCTGTTGGCCCACTATTCCTGGAGAAAGGAAATCATCAGAAAGAAGCCTGACATTCAGAGGACCCACCAAGAATGACTCCAAATCCCGACATTGGTCAGCAGGTGGACCCTGAGTGGCAAACAGCAGCATGGGGAGGATATGCTGCTGAGCAAGGCTTCCTCTGTACTCTCCATGTCTTTAGTAAGCCGGCTGAGCCCTCCATATGTGGTGCGGACTCTCACGAGAAAGACTGTACTGATGCCATGCTGTAGTCTATACACACCACAGGGAAAAGAACAGAATTCCCTCTCCTGTGAGTGCTGAGGGAGACTCCATGTCACAGGAAAGTGTTGGTGAAGATATCGCAGTACAGAGACTACAGCATCCCTCACCTGTGTTAGTCATTGATCATCCATAAAGAAAATGTCAGGGGATTCTCCAGTTTCACATCCTGGACTGGCATGTCAGTCCTGAGAAAGGGTCTATAGAGGAGGTTTGGTCACTTTTCGTGTCTTTAGGGAGCCAGATGCTCTCGATTGATTTTTTGGATCTAGAGCTAGAGACTATTTTTAGCTTAATTGGAGCAAGGGTTCTGGTTTGGGTTTGGTTTTCATTTGTTTGGATATTTTTTTCTTTGCTTTGGTTTAAATTTTGTTGTTGGTTTTTAAATAATTTATTCTTGTTGTTTTAATAGTTGGCTAAGGCTCTACCCTGTATATACTGACTACCCTTTCTAAAGTTCCTATTGAGTATAATGAGTATTTTTATGAATAAAATCAATTTTCAACTCCTCAGTTTTATAGCCTTTCTTGAGTCAGATGTGGGGTTGCTCCCCTGTGACTACAGAACTCATGGGCAGAGATGGATTTCTGCATTCCAGGAGCCTTGGTTACACAGCCGTTTCGCATCCAGGCAGGTCTACACGGGAGGGTAGTACCTTGGATGTGGATGGCCTGACCTATTCCTGTCTTTACTACCAAGACTTTCTGTTAAGAGAATGTCATGAAGAAGGGATCTGGAAAGAAAGGAACTCCTCATTCTGCACTACATTAGTTCCATCCCAGTGTCCAATCACAATTGTACATTGTGATCCTGGGATAGCAAACCACTGAAAGTTGCCTTTGAAATGCACTGTCATCTACTTACAGTAGGAATATTGGGAACAGAGTCAGAAGGATTCATTCAAAGCTCTGAAATGGTCCCACCCATTGGTTTATGTCACAAAACAGTGGATAAAATTCCATAAGGCTGTTTCATATAGGTTACTCAAAACATCATTTCATCTGCTAAATTTAAGAAGTGTGAGTTTAGGGTTTAGAGAGATTGTTCGGTAGTTAAGGACACTTGGGTTGGTTCCCAGATTCATAAGGGGGCTCACATCCTTTTAAATCTGAAATTCCAGGGGACCCAATACCTTCTGACCTCAGCACCAAGCATGCATGTAGAGCATATACATGCAACGAAAACATTCACACACAGGCATACATGTAAAAATAAATGTGAGTGGTACAAACTAACTTAATGCTACAATGCAGATGAGAAACCTCATCTACTTTTACTATTAAATAATATCTCCAGCTTTTGCCCAGGCTATCTCAGAATTTAGCATACTACATTTGCATCAAATACCAAGGTTGCTGATTTTATTTTTTCTAATAAGACCCTAGAGTAAAAGCTTGATTATAAATATACAACAGTATAAAAAGTGTACAAAATGTACAAGAAAAGGGAGGGGAATGGAGAAAAATGTATAGCTCAATAAAAACAATAAAAAAGAAAAAAATGTACAGTTATCGTAAATGCTTCCTTTTTTTAACGTTAATTTGTAGACTTGTTTCAACGCTAATTTTCAGTGCGAATTACAATAAAGAGTAGGACAGATCTGAGTCATCAGAACTTCGGTAATGCTGTAGCATTTCAATATATTTTGCTATCTCTAGGGAAAGGTCATGCTACTGAATTATGACAAATTGTCATGAGAAGTAATAGTGTACCCAGACATTATAAAATGCGTAACCACTGCCTTTCCACAGAAAGACTGGACATGTGCTTTATCATACAACAGTCCCAACTCTGTCCCCGGAAATCCTCCTAATTTCATTTATTTGGTGGTGTTAAACAATTAAAAAGACTCCTTACAGCACCATCCAGCTCTCCTATGAAATACTCAGCATCCTAAATATTCTGTATACTTTTTTCTTGCAGTAAACTAAGCACTAGCTGAGTTTGGTGGGTGGGCGGATGGGTATCCAATTTAAAACTGCATTACAGAGCCCTGTTTAGGTACTGAGGAGTTCAATCTGGACTGGTGAGTGTGTGCTATCCGGGGCGGATTGTCCTGGAAGAGAGCACAAACCCCCCTCCCCCAGCTCCTTCTGCAGGGCTGTGTTTCTTACACACGACACCCCCCCCCCCCCCAAGCCTGCATTTTCTGCTAGGTCCATTGCTCAGGAACAGTTTTCTGCTCCTACACTAAGGCTACCCACCCAGGCCTCAAGGACCCCCTAAAGAGAGCCCAGGCACCTTCAGCTTGTGTTCCAGGGGTGCCTGTGCTCTCCTGGATCTCGCTCTGCCTGCCCGGTTTTTCCTTTTGTCCCTGGATCATCGGGCTACCAGGTGGCCCTGTTTAGGTGCTGAGGAGTTCCATCTGGACTGGTGAGTGTGTGCTATCCAGGGGCGGATTGTCCTGGAAGAGAGCACAAACCCCCCCTTCCCACAGCTCCATCTGCAGGGCTGTCCTTCTTACACATGACGCCCCCCTCCCCAAGCCTGCATTTTCTGCTAGGTCCATTGATCAGGAACAGTTTTCTGCTCCTACACTAAGGCTACCCACCCAGAGTGGTGAGTGCCTGCCTACCAGGCAGGCCTCAAGGACCCCCCCAGACAGGGAGCACGCACACCTTCAGCTTTTGCGGCAGGGTGTCCTGTGTTCTACTCGTCCCCTCCCTGCCCCCCAAGTTCTCCCTTTTGTCCGTGGGTGATTGGACTATCAGGCGTCCATGTTTTGGTGCTGAGGAGTTCCATCTGTCCGGGAACGGTTCCTGCTTCTACACTGAAGAGATACACCCAGAGAGTCAGTCACAGCAAAGACTGGACCAAGACACCAGGCCTCTCCTGGCTCCATTTGAAGGAAGACATGGGAAGGCGCCAAGGCAAGAATTCCTCCAACAACCTGAAAGGCAACATGACATCACCAGAATCCAGGGATCCCGAAATAAGAAGAATTGTACAACCTACTCTAGAAGAATTAGAAGAAATCGACTCAAAAGTGAATTATATGAAAATAATAGAAGACCTTAAACAGGGGGTGAAAAACTGCCATAAACAATTAGAGATCACAAACAAAAAGGAAGAGGAAATGAATAAATCGCTCAAAGATACCCAAGAAAACCAAGAGAAACAAGAAAAAGCAATCAAACAGGTAAGGGAAGCGGTTCAAGACATGAAGAATGAAATGGAAGTAATGACGAAAACAAACCGAGGGAAGGACGGAGATGGAAAATCTGGGTAAATGAACAGGAAATACAGAGACAAGTACTACCAACAGATTACAAGAGATAGAAGAAAGAATTTCAGACACTGAAGATACCATAGAGAAAATAAACACACTGATCAAAGAAAACAGCAAAGCCAACAAATTCTCATCACAAAACATTCAGGAAATCTGCGACACAATAAAAAGACCAAACCTAAGAATAATTGGGATAGAAGAAGGAGAAGAAGTACAGCTCAATGGTCCAGAAAATATATTTAATAAAATTATAGAAGAAAACTTTCCCAACCTAAAAAGGATATTCCTTTGAAGGTTCAAGAAGCATACAGAACACCGAATAGACTGGACCAAAAAAAAAAAAAAAAAAAAAAAAAACTCCTCGCCATATAATAATCAAAACACAAAACATACAGAATAAGGAAAGAATATTAAGAGCTGCAAGGAAAAAGGCCAAGTTACTTATAAAGGTAAACCTATCAGACTTACACCTGATTTCTCTATGGAAACCATGAAAGCCAGAAGGTCCTGGATAGATGTACTGCTGAAACTAAGAGACCATGGGTGCAAGCCCAGACTACTATACCCAGCCAAGCTTTCGTTCACTATAAATGGAGAAAACAAAATTTTCCAGAATAAAAACAAATTTAAACAATACATAGCCACAAATCCAGCCTTACAGAAAGTAATAGAAGGAAAATCACAAACCAAGGAGTCCAACAATAACCACAATAACTCAAACATCTAGAGACCCTTCACCAGCACAACTCAAAGAAAGGAAACACACAAACTCTATGACTAAAAAAGTGACCGGAGTTAACAACCACTGGTCATTAATATCACTTAATGTCAATGGGCTCAACTCACCTATAAAAAGGCACAGGCTAAGAGATTGGATACGAAAACAGGATCCAACATTCTGCTGTTTACAAGAAACACACCTCAACCACAAAGACAGGCACCTATTCAGAGTAAAGGGATGGGAAAAGGTTTATCAAGCAAATGGACCTAAGAAACAAGCAGGTGTGGCCATACTAGTTTCTAACAAAGTTGACTTCAAACTTAAATCAATCAGAAGAGATGGAGAGGGACATTTTATACTCATAACAGGAACAATTCATCAGGATGAAGTCTCAATCCTGAATATCTATGCCCCTAATATAAAAGCACCCACGTACGTAAAAGAAAAATTACTAAAACTCAAGGCTGTTGGAGGAATTCTTGCATTGGTGCCGTCCCATCTCTTCCTTCAAATGGAGCCAGGAGAGGCCTGGTGTCTTGGTCCAGTCTTTGCTGTGACTGACTCTCTGGGTGTATCTCTTCAGTGTAGAAGCAGGAACCGTTCCCGGACAGATGGAACTCCTCAGCACCAAAACATGGATGCCTGATAGTCCAATCACCCACGGACAAAAGGGAGAACTTGGGGGGCAGGGAGGGGACGAGTAGAACACAGGACACCCTGCCGCAAGAGGCCTGCCTGGTCGGCAGGCACTCACCACTCTGGGTGGGTAGCCTTAGTGTAGGAGCAGAAAACTGTTCCTGATCAATGGACCTAGCAGAAAATGCAGGCTTGGGGAGGGGGGCGTCATGTGTAAGAAGGACAGCCCTGCAGATGGAGCTGTGGGAGGGGGGGTTTGTGCTCTCTTCCAGGACAATCCGCCCCTGGATAGCACACACTCACCAGTCCAGATGGAACTCCTCAGCACCTAAACAGGGCCACCTGGTAACCTGATGATCTGGGGACAAAAGGAAAAAAACGGGGCAAGCAGGGCGGGATTCAGGAGAGCACAGGAGACCCTGGAGCACAAGCTGAAGGTGCCCAGGCTCCCTTACAGGGGAGCTTGAGGCCTGCCCAGTAGGCAGGCACTCACCGCTCTGGGTGGGTAGCCTTAGTGTAGGAGCTTAAAACTGTTGTTGAGCACTGGTCCTAGCATACAGCAGGGCAGGGTTGGAGGGGGGTCCTGGGGGGCTGGGTGTTGCATAAGAAAGACAGCCCTGCAGAAGGAGCTGGGGGAGTGGGGTTTGTGCTCTCTTCCGGGATAATCTGCCCCTGGATAGCACACACTCACCAGTCCAGATGGAACTCCTCAGCACCTAAACAGGGCCGCCTGGTAGCCTAATGATCTGGGACCTCAGGTAAATTTTCTAATCAGGTAAAAAACCCTATTTCTGCATTTTCCCCAAATTTCCCCAATTCGTTCATCAGTCAGGTTTTTCCCCATAACTTGCTTTGCAACTTCAATGCCTGACCACTCTATCAGATGAGGAAGACTCGTATTATCACGCAGCA